GAGCGCCGGCCGTGCAGAGGGCCGGTGGCTCTGAGGACGACCTCAGGAGGAGGAAGGTGCGCCGAACGTGCGGCTGCCCCTCCCCTTCCTTGCCCCGAGGACGGCTTTTTAAGCCGTCTGCCGAGGCCCTATGTTCAGCTGTCACACTATTTATCCATCATGTTGAACACTCAACGACACACCCCTGGCATTTTTTTTGGGGGGGGGTGCTGTGTTTCCAATTATATTATTAGAGTCACCACGAGAAGATACGTTTTGGGAGGATATAGGAAGGTGTGGGTGGGGACATTGGAAGTAGCACTCCTTGCTGAAGGACTAAGTAGATAGCTTCAATAAGCTCATTATCACAAATGGCTCCAGTGGCAAGGGACACCTATGCTTCTCTTGGCAGAACCTGCCAGAATGGGACTCATCATTCCAGTCTGGAAAGAACTGTACAGGCTGTCTGTGAGTTAATAAGCTCCATGGTGTTGTAGTTGGCATTTAAAGCTCTGTATGATTTGGGACACAAGCAACTGAGGGAATACTTCCCATGCCACTGACTGTCCTGGGCCTTACAAATTTTCATAGTCCTAACCAAAGCAGAGGTCGATCTGTTTGTGGAGCACCCTCCCAAATCTTACTAGGTCTATCACTGCAGTCCACTTACCCAAACAAGAACTGAAGACATTTTTATCTGTTTAGGCTTTTGATGTTTGATGGAAAGTGTGTTTTGATGTAAAGCCTTTTGAGGGAGATTAGAAGAAGAGGAAGGGGAGGTTAGTCTTTGGTCCTGTACTGAACTCTTGAGTTAAATTTGCCTCTCTGAAGCTGCTGTTACTAGTAGAGGGGTACTAATGTAGTGGTATAACATGCATGTAAATATCTGTGCTGCAGCATATAGCATTTTTGGAAGAGTTTGGATTTGGACTGTACTGGAGCAATAGCAATAGCATGTACATTTTTATACCATTTATCAGTGAACTCAGCACTCTCTAAGCCAGGGGTAGGCAACCTTTCCCCTTTAAGGGCCGAGGGACTTCAGTTCTCAGAATCCCAGGAGCTATTGGCCAACATGGCTGAGGCTTCTGGGAGCTGAAGTCCCTTGGCCCTTAAAGGAGAAAGGTTGCCTACCCCTGCTCTAAGCAGTTTACAATCTGTAAGCCAATTGCCCCACCACCACCAAGCTGGGTACTCATTTTACTGTCCTACAAAAGGCTGGAAGGCTGAGTCAACCTTGGAGCCCCTGGGATTGAATTTACAACCTTGTAGCTGCAGTACTGGCATTTAACCACTTCATCACCAGTGGTCAGGTCAGGGGAAAATCCTTGTTCTTGATGCTTCTTCCCTGTCTAATAAACAACCAATATATCTCCTCCATGCTTGTGGGGGGTGTCCCACAAATATTCATTCTTTATTACTAATATACTCTCAAGTGCTTTCTACTTCCATGCTCATGAACAACCATCATCAATGCCCACAGAATTGAAGCTGACAACTATGTTGTGTACCTTCAAGTTGTTACCGACTTACAGTGACTTCCTCTGAGGCTGAGAGAGTGTGGCTTACCCAGGATCACTCAGTCGGTTTCCATGACTGAGCAGGGACTTGAACTCTGTTCTCCAGAGCCATAATCTAGTGCTCAAACCACTACACCGCGCTGTCTCTTGAAAATCACATACATGTAGATAGAAATTATGTGGCTCTAGTTGAGAGAGCTGGGGCTGAATATGTCTAATACGGACTTTGGGAGAGCTGATCTTTTGATGGGTCAGCTTTCTAGAACTGTGCTCTTTGGGCTTTGTGTTGAGTATACTGCATCCTCCCCATCAAAGTAGATAGTCTTAGCTAGTGTTCATTGCTCATCTTGCAGTACTGATTCCTGTAAGTTAGTAATACATATGATATTTGCCTTGTGAACTCAAGTTCTAGATTTATATGAAGAATCTGTTTGTATCACACCATGCATTTCTATCATCCTTTGTTGCCTTTTTTAGAAAAAAATCCTAAGAAGTCCCAAACCTGCCAGAATGAGCTTTTCCCTGTAGGGAGGGTGTTCCAAACCTTTAAAAATGTTGGCTGATTTCTTATCTCTGACTCCAGATCACTGGGAGAGATTCTTAAGCACACTACATACACTTTTTAAACTTACTTTTTTCTTCTTGAATATTGCTCTACATTGCTCTGCATTATATATATTTGACTCTTGTTATTTTTAGTACAGTTGGCCCTCCGTTTTTGTGGGGGATCTGTTCCGGACCCACCCATCCCGTGAAAACGGAGACTCACCAGTATTCAAGCCCCATAGGCTTGAATTGGGTGTGCTTTTGCACATCTCATTGATTTCTACAGATGTTTCCCCTCTGTGAATATGCGAAACCGCAGACTTCAAGTCCATGAGAACGGAAGGGCGACTGTACACCAATCTATATTTATTGAATAATGAAATGTATTCTGTTGAATGCATTTGGCAGGACAACCTTTGTGCTAAATCTTAAGGTCTAGTCTTTTAGGGAGTTAATGCAGTATCTCTTTGCTCCATTTCTCAATTTTAGACAAATTTCTTTTACTGTTTGCAGGAGTGGACATAAGAAGCTACCTTACAGTGAGTTAGGTCATTGATCCATCTCACTCATCAGTGTTGTCTGCACCAGCTAGCAGTAGCTCTCTGGGACTACTTTCTCAGCTCTAGAGGGTGAGCCTCATTCTGCATAGAAAGCTGACCCCTCTTTATAGATGTGTATGTTTCCTGCCATCACGATTCAGAGGGAAACCGGATCTTTTAAATGTTATTAAACTTTCACCATTAGCAAGACAAGCAGACTGTCTTCAGAGAGTAAGAAAGAGGAGAGAACAATTAATTAATGTGGTGGGTATTTTCTTTTTGAGTGCCAGGTAACTGCATTATTTTAACAGAAAGTGCTTCCTTTCCACAGCAATGCTGAGTGAAGAAACCTCTGGTCACATGAGAAAGAAATGTGTGTCTTCTCTACCATGCTCTGACTTAGCTACTCATGAAGATGAAAAGGCCAAGTGGGTTTTTAAAAGGTACTTTCAAGTAAGTGTCTCTGTTAGCCATGTCAGATAAAAGTTCTTGTTAAAATTCCAGTGTAGTGTTGCTTGTTATGAGTAGGGAATAAATGCCCAGTTGCTGCATTTTTGTTGTTTGCCTTTACCTTAACAATATGCTTCTCTCTTTTTCCTACTTCCTTTATTATCAGTTTTCCTGCCAATGTTTGTGCTCTTTTTTTGTTCTTCTCAAATGGATTAGATTTTTTTAAAAAAGGAACTATACTGTGGTTTCCCTATCACCTCCAAACATTTCACAGATGAAAACCAGGACACATGTGACCAAGCAACTTCAGAATGTGGTCAAGATAACAGACATTATTGATGGGGAAAGACAGACTCTGGCAGTTTGCGTTTTCCTCAGCCTGTTGGGAAGGGAAAGACTCTGCCCAGTCATCTCTCCCTTGTGCTGAGTTAATTGAATGCATTCTGCTTTTGCACTTTGAGCTCAGTTTGCAGCAGCTGAAGTTGGCTGAAGACAAAAGGTGGAAGTGGAAGGAAGGAAGAGAAGCTGGGTCATTTTAAAAGCAGATGAAAAATTGAGATGACAGAGGAGTAATTAATTGTCCCTACCAAATAAGGATAGTTGGAATGTATGAGTTCCCAATAGGTTCTTCAGATTCTTTTATGCTATCTCTACTTCCCTGATAACTTTACAGTTGTTCCTCCACATTCGCTGGGGTTAGGGGCGAAGGACCCCTGTGAATATGGAAAAACCGCAAATAAAAAAACACGATTATTTTTATATAAGAGAACACCTCTCTAGGAATCTCCAGGTCCTCCAGTGCAACTCTATGGTCAACATCTGCCAGAGATTGATCATAGAATCATGCTGGAGGACCTACAAATGCATATAGAGAAGTTTTTTCTCTAGGAACTTCTAGGTTCTCCAGCACAACTCTATGGTCAACTTCCAGCAGAATTGTGCTGGAGGACTTAGAGATTCCTAGAGAGAACGTATTAATCCAAACCACAAATAATAAAATCCACCAAAGTCAAAACTGCAAATGTGGAGGGCCAACTGTATTTTAAAATTGTATATTTAAAAAAAATTAAATCGGATCAAGTTGTACTTTTTGGCAGCTTCCTCTGAACTGCAATACAATTGTCCCCAGTCAGTTTGAAAAGCTTTTTTAAAACTTGCATATATCTTGGGTGAAATTCTATCCAGCCAGCTCTATGATTTTACTATTCTAAGATGTGTTTAGCATATCTAGAATTTCCGTCTTTTTGTTGCAGCTAATACAGATGTAGCTAGTTGATAGCTGCATTCAGATGTCATGCTAAAGTGGTTTGCTAAAATGTGAACAAGCCTAGTTTCAGCCTTCACTTGCTTATTCCCCTTTGTACTCTGTGCCTGTACTTAATATCCCACACCAGGAAGATTTTGAAAGTTTTTTTTTTTAATGAACCAACATTTGCACTGTCATCTAGAATCAGCAGACCTGTTAAAAACAGTACAGTCAGCATCACATAAGTCAGCTTCAGTTTATGAAGGTTCCTTTTTTAAACTGACTGTGTCATTGAAGATTAACCAAGTTCCAGGTTTCTATGACACAGCAAACTGTCTATATTTAAAAAATAAACAATAAATTGCTTCACAAATCTTTTTTCCTGGCTATACAGAAAGAATAGAGGATGGTGTTGCTAAACCACAGTTTAACATGAGAACTTAATGCAGCCATCTTCTCCTTTTATCTTTCTCCTTTTCAAAGTGTGGTCCTTATTTTCTTCTCATCTTATGGTCTCCCTAGTAGTTTTAATCAGTAGAATGATAGTCTCTTCCCACTGCTAAATTATTTTGGCCCTGATATTTTCACTTGTGGTGATTCCATGAAGAGGTTTATTCATCTTATTATTTTCCTAAAACCTTGAGTATATAGTAACTCCACACCTAATTCCCTGTTTCACTTCATTTCATATCTGATTTCATATCTGCTCCAGCTGTCTTTCTCCCTCTATTGTAGCTTTCTAGCATTAATGTAGAAAGTAGGAGTCCTATGCATTGCATCCATCTATGCTAACCCTTTTTATTTGTCTTGTCCAACTTAAAGATATTTGTTGCTCTTGTGTGCCTTCAAGTTGTTTCCACCATATTGTGACTCTATCATGGGGTGTCCTTGGCAAGATTTGTTCAGCAGGGTCTTGCCTTTGCCTTCCACTGAGACCGAGAGTGTGTTACTTGCCCTTACCAAGGCCAATTTGTTTATGTCATTTTATATCTTTGGATACATTTTGGGAAGTATGCAGAGACCTGTGCAACAGTGATTGTGGGAACTACTTTGATATCAGTGAAAGAGAGAGATTTTTAAAATTGTGCTGGGTACAGAAATGTTGGTTTTGAGATCAAATGGCAGCATATTAGAGGCCAGGAATGTGACACCTGTCACCTGTCCCTTGAAAACTTTCTATATGACTACTTATTTCAAGGCATAAATGAGAATTGGTTAATCTATTACATATAAAATCTGCTAGATACAGTTCATAGATATAATGATCTTAGCACATTTCTAGTGACCAGTTGTTCTAGTTCAGACAAATGACAGTATTTTTATGTGTACAAGAAGTATTAGCTTTTGAGCAACACAAGGCTGAGCAATTTTTATTTCAAATTGTAATCCTTTAGATTTGCAAACAGTTACAAAAGCCTGAACATCTTGGAGCAAAGGAGAATCTGCTTTACTTAGTTTTATACTTTAAAGTGCATGAAGCAGTGATGTGGCTTTAGCTCGTCACTCACAGTAACCAGATTTATTATAGAGAGAAGCATAATGAAGAAAATACTGTAAGTGACAAAACGCAGTTCCTTCTGTTTATGGTGATGGAATAATCGAGAGCCTAAGCCTATTATTAGGCAGCATGTTCTTATGATATTCGTATTGATTTGCATCTGAATAAGTGTATTGAAGATCGATGTGCCAGATATATTTCTCAACTGGATTTCAGAATTCACAAAAATGATACCATGTATATTCCCCGCTTCACACACCTTATATTACCTATTTGATATGTCTACATGTAGGGATTTCTTTTTCTCCTAGGTATCTTTACTTGTCAAATCCCACCCACCTCCCCAGCCCCCCCCCCCATGGCTAGAAAGTACTAAAAGGGGCAAAAAAATTAATAATTGTTGTTGTTGTGTGCCTTCCAAATTATTTCCGACTTTCAGCAACCTTAAGGCAACCCTGTTACAGTGTTTTCTGGGCAAGATTTGTTCAGAGTATTTTTGCCTTTGCCTTCCTCTAAAGCTGAGAGTGTGTGACCTGCCCAAAGTCACCCAGTAGGTTTCCACTGCTGAGCAGGGATTTGAATCCTGATCTCCTGTTTTCTAGTCCAGTGCTCAAACACTATATGTGGAGAAAGATAGCAAAAGAAATTTCCTGTTGTTATTTTGTACCTTTGGAATTCTTTGGGAAGTATTCCCAATGATTTGCAAAGAAATGAATCAAAAAGTATCCAGTTTTCTATTCCAGAGAATTACCTAAAACAGTGATAAAAAATAAAAATATGCATACTAATATAAATATTTAATTATTTTGAATGGTTAATAAATACTATCAAAATATATGCATCACTTTGTAATATCTGTTAATGTG